AGGCGATCACCGAACACGGACACAAATATTTGCGATGCGATGGTTTAATTTCTCGGTTATTAGCAGAAAATGGTAAAAAAAAAATTGCTTTTCGGATGATTCGCTCAAAAAAATAACCTGTTCGTATAGCTCGGGGGCAAATTTTTCAAGATAAACAAACATCAAACAGGAAAAATGTGAAACACAAGGAGCTTTCCCTGTTTATCTTCATTAACTCTGCACAAAAGCCGTCGATGAATTCACAGTTTTCGATCGATCTCACATTGAAGTTTTAGCAAAACAAGCTTGCGGACTGTTATGAAAAGTCACTGGCGGTAATTTATTCAATACTTGATAGGAAACTTCGTGGGCACAACATAAAAAATATCTTCGCTTGGTTAACTTTCACTTTCACGTCGTCAGTAAAGGCCACCAAATTTTAAAACGTCGCTACTTTGCAAAAGAGGTTTTCGAAGCAAATGAGACCCAAATTTCCACATCACAGAGAGAAAACAATTTGATTAAAGCGAAAGGTACCAAATAGAAAATTGAATTTTTTCAAGGTTGAGGGGGTCATATCAACTTGATTAATAGTTAGCATCTTTCGCTGTTAGTTCCACTTGACTAATCCTTTTAAGGTCAAGAATATAGAGCTTGGCTTTGAATAAAATAATAGCTTTTTTGAAGGTCCGATGCTATCAAACAATATTTGTATGGGACTTTCGCACGAAATGGAAATGGCAATAGCTTTCTGCACGACAACAAGTTTTACAGAGCGCTTTTCAGTTAAACGAGATCGAGCGTTAAACTACCCTAACTCTCTAAGTCTATTTCATAGAATCTAAAACGCCCTCGATTTTCCCTTAAAGACTTACTAGTAACCAAACTGAAGAGAAGCTTTCTTAATTAGAATATCATGACAGAAAATTGGTTTTCTTTGACAAACAATGAACCAAAGAACTTTATCGACGACGTATGCGGAAAATTAACGCTAGCTTTAGGCTATTAGCCAAAAAAGTCCACTAATTTGAAAGTAAAATTTTCAATTTTTTGGAACGGTGTCAAACCAAAGTATATTGGATTACCGTTGATGTGAAGTGATTTACAAGAATTTGTTGATGAAAAGGTACCAACAAACGCAATTTTTTCGAAGGAACAACTACAGGAATGGAAAACCTCATCACATGTAGTAACAAATTTTGGAAACCTTACATTTTTTGCGTCAGCATGTTTGTTATAAATACGACAAAAAAAAAAACAAAAAAAAAAAACAAAACAAAGAAAGCAGCATTAATATTGGCTGTAAATGCTGCTTTGTATGTTGATCATTTTCCACAGAAATTTCGGAGTTACAAAATTGTTGTGGGACACTGCTTCAGAAAAAAAATGTTATATTTCTCTCAGGTCATATTTCAAAACTACATAATATAAATGTCCCCACAGTTTTTAAATTGCGATATTTTTCAACCTTGTAACTTACACAGTCATGCACTAAGAGTTTTAGACCACACACTTTGCTATTGGATTTGTCCTGCATTAAAAAAAAATGTGATGGGAGCTTTTCCTAACCACACACAAAAAAAATAGCAGCTTTCTCCAATGTGGTAACTCAAAACTACAGTAATCGATCCTGAGAATTTCACGATACGTAATATTTGCTTGCGTGGGTTCACCTGAAAAGGCAGTGAAGTGTGATAGAAGTGGAATAGAAAATGTTTTCAAGTTTAGCTCCATGCCTGACGTAGAACTTTTCTGAAAGTGCCATGTATAATAGGAAGCGTTTTTTTTCTTTTCGACTTTATTATCAGATAATACATTTGATCTAGAAATGTTCAGAAATCTGTCGAAGTCACACGTTCACGTATGGCCGATTTAAAAGAGTCACGTTTGACGCCAAATATGCTAACGCACAACTCAACCGATGAGAGGAGAGAGAGAGAGAGAGAGAGAGGGAGAGAGACATCTTTTGAAAAGGGCCGTTCTTTGGGCGTATTCATGTGAACAAAACGTTTCATATTTTTCCTTTTATAACGGACGTGGAGTCTCTGTAGGAATTCGAATAATTTATCGTTGAAAACAAGCGAACAATAACAGTTGCCGTCATCTCTTGGAATATGACCGGCTGTATTGGCCCAAAACATCGGAAAACCGTTTAATTCAAATCTGTTATTTATCAACCTATATATCCTGGTAATGATATTCTACAGCAGTAGTGGATCAAACGTCACTAAATGAACGCAAAATTTATTAAAAAAAAAAAAAGACTGGATTAGAGTGACTTTGGTCAAAACATTGTTCTCAATGAAGTGTTAACAACCATGTAGAGTTCCAGGGTGTAATTGTCAAAAGGCTCCGACTTTAAATGGGTTTTTAATCACCATTGAGTTTAAAGGCCCAAAACCACTGGACTGAATTGTGACTATGCAAATTAAATTCATTACAGAAAAAATTTTCCAGCACCAGAACAAAAAAAGTCATCAAAACCGTTTAAACTGGATCGTTTAGCGAACGTTTAGATTCGTGAGTGATTTGTTTCTCTCTGGTATAACAAGACAACAAACAGACCATCCCTTGCCAACAGCTCATCAATTCAAGCGAAATCCGCCCAATTCTTATGCAAATCAAGAGCAATATTACTGCTTTCAGAAATTGTGCGCTTCAGCAGTTTTGCAACTTTTTTGTCATTTAAAACGCCTACATCGTAAACAACATCGCGAATGGCCACTTTTCTTCTTCACTTTTCCTCTTTTACACGAAGTCAGCGCTAACCATCTAACGCTAACTCGCGTTGGCAACAAGTGGTTTTCCAATGAAAGCGTCGATATTCCCTTCGTTTATTGCAAAGCGGAAATTTCGTTCGCACGGATATTTTTCCAAGCGTGGGAGGAGTTTAGGTCAAAAGGGCCGAGATTATTAGATTTGTATTGTTCTTTTGCCGTTTGTGTACGCGTGTTTTATTTCATCGTAAAACTACGTAATGGGACAGATATGCTTATGTCTCTCCCAACTCATGATAAGCACATGATCCATTTACGCATATAGAGTTAAAAAATCTGTCACAAATCTTTTACTCCGTAATTTTTTAGGTCCATTAGGTTAGTTGTTTACTCCGTATCCTGGTAGCAGACTCAATTTACAAGTGGCCATTATATTGGTCTCCCAATGTTTGACTCCTGATAACAATAGGAGATTTAATGTCCGCCTGTGGCGTTGTAAAATCATGGATTACCAATTTGACTGGTGGTATGTTTGTTCCTTAGTAATTAAACTTTCGAACCAATGAATGCGGCCAACAATACTCCACAATCGAAAACAACACAATTTAAAAACTTTCCAACCATTTTAACAACCCTGTGGTCGCTTTCGAGCGTAACGCACTCAAGTAATGTTTTACTCTAGAAAGTGTTTTTCAGAACTTTTCCCATTCAATTACCCCGCCCAGTTCACGGTTGACTTAAAACTCCTACCATTTTGCATTTTTATTACTCAGATGAATCTCTAAGTTCAAGGTTAATATTTCCGGTCGCTGTTTTGAACCATTAAGAAAAAAAAAAAAAGTATGGTGCGAAAACCAAACATCACATGCGATACTGCCAGATTTGGTGATATTATAATTTCATTCCAAGTTTTTACGACCTGTTTTCAAAGAACGAGTTACTGGCAATATGTTTGTTACGAAGAGATTAATAACAAAGGATTGTTTGAGGTCTTATTTGTGCATGATGTAAGCGCTTTTTTAAAGAGTGATCTGGAATGAAAAAGCCTACCAAAACGCAAGAAAATCGAAGTCGTCAAGTTGGTATATAAAGTATCAAGGAGGGAAAGCGCAAAGAGATATTTAAACCGAACAGCGTTAAAGACAAGAAAGCTTTATGAGAATGCTTCATCTTTAATCATAAGTTTAATTATAGTGCATTCCTTAAGCGTGTGGGAAACTTGATTTGAATACAACCAGGAACTTTCAAATCACAAGGACGCTATATAGGCATGCATATTTTACTGGGAAGAATGTTATCTTTGCTTATCACGTATCAAGTTTGCGGAATATTGCTCTGGGACGCTACACTGGAGAGATATTTCGAAAAAGCACTGTTACAGCAAAACACGAATTTCTCTTTGTCGACAAAATGAAAAGTATGTTTTCTGAGGGGCGGAGACAAGGTTTTCAAAAGGTTTCCATAACAGTAAGAAACAAACATTAGGTATTTTCATGAATTACAAAATAATACCCCAAATAAATGACAGAGAAAAAAAATAAGTAATATGGAATAGGCAAACAAAAATTCCGGCGCCGATATCCCGTAAACAGATAGAGGAGCAATTTGAGATGAAATGTGTGATAAAATTTTTTACAGAAACTTCGCTATTTATAGAATTCATTTGCGGTTGAAAAAGTAAGAAAAGATGTTTGTTCCGTAGTAATCTCGAAAAACTAGTTATGCTAATTTGTTTTTGTCAGTTGATAACAATGCATGATATGGGGTCTGTACTAAGTCTTGTAAAATCTGGAATGGAACTCTCAGATTTTCCTGACACATTCTAGCTCTTCTTTTTCATCCTAGTCGATCCTTCTTAAGTGCTAGAACCAGGGATTCAGCTTTATTTGTGGCTTATTTTGACAAGAGCGCCAATGACGTCAGGAAAGTTTGTCACGGTTCAAATAGGGTGAATGCTTGAACACGTGTCGAAACGGAGAACGAAAATGTAAATTCTCCTGAAGACGCGGGGGAATTCAAGAATCAAATTATCGTTAAACCAAAACTTCGCCTATCCTTGAAGTGCGCCAGATGCTCCAAACTGTCATTTTGGAATCTCACAATTGAAGAACTTTCTACAAAAAAAACAGGTTTGCACGTGCGGGGAAAATTGCGTGCCTGAAATGAAGAGGCCTAATCCAGATCGCCCAAGCGTAGCATAATCGCTCACTTCCGGTGAAAAATAAACCCGATAGGGGTACCGGCAGTGAGCTAATATTTACTCTGACTTCGTGCGGAATTTCTCGCTTCTTGACAGACCACGTCTCAAAATCTCCATCACTCGACGGCAATCGGCTACCTCAATCGTACTGGATTAGACCGCGGAAAAATTCACCAGACTACAGGAAACGTTTTACGTGTCCGATCGGAGTCTTACGTCGCATCCCTGGTGAAACTGTCGGGGGAGTTACTTTCATGATATTTCGACCTGTGACGTCACCCAACGGAATTCTCCTGTCGAATGAGCATTGAATACTGATGTACTATTATCTCATAGCCGCATGCTAATATCTTTAATGCTGTGTGTCGAGCAGTTAACGGCTGCATTCGTCAGCATCCTTGAAGAGGAATACAGCCACACGAATCGCTCAGCGGGAATTTCTCCAATTCTACCGCTGTCACGATGCCTCGAGCGTTCTTGATCAAAGCGAAGAAAGAGAAAAAGAAGGAGGACGATGCCCCTTCTTCTCACGTACAAGTAAACAGACAATTTTCCAACGGAATTTCTGGTGAGTTTAACGCTTTTGAAGCTACTGAAATTTCGTGGGCGAACTCTCTTCGAAATTTCCTCCTCTACTACGAAATCACATTGTTACGCTAGTTTCGAAACTCGAGGATGCCTCTCAAACACAGAGTCAACGTGCCGGATGCATGTTTAAAAAGTTTTCTTAACTCGTGGAAATTTTGCTTTCAAACATTTAGTTCTCGGTTTTGTTAAATGTCCGCGCTTACATGTAACTTATCAACTTCTGAGTCAAGCAGCGCAAATTCTGCCTGCTTTTTCTTTAGCTTCCAAGCAAGTGTATCAGGCAGAATTACATCTACCCTCCGCCGCATTCCGAAGCGTTTACATATGCAACTTTTCATAGCCGAAGTTTTTTTAGCCCTCCGAGTTAATTACCGCGCTCCTCTATTTACTGATCAGTTGTTGAATATTTAATTAGCGCGCTCATCGAGTGATTTGTCCGTCTCGCGTTGAGGCGATTAACAGCTCAAAAATCACTCTCTCCATGTCAGAAATGTAAGTACTACTTATCGACAAAGATCGGAAAGCGTTTAGAGTCGCGTTTAAGTTGCGGTTTAGTGGAACGTGCGCTGCCGGGAGTTAATTCAATAACGGTATTCTTGTCTCAAGTTGCAATTGGACTTTTTCCACAGATCCCCACAGCAACGATAGGATCGTGTGCCCCTCCGAGGATCAGATTTCACCGCCTACACACACTAAAGAGTCGCCTGTCCGTCTCCATGTCAAGCGGAAGCATTCGCACGTCACAGCCTCCGCGGAGGAACGGGAAATAATTTCTGTCCCGCGCCTGACCCAAACAGGAGTTTTGGAGACTAACAGAAATGTGATCACAGAATCTCCACTGGCGGATAATGCAATTGTGCCTAGGAAAACACGGAAAAGAAGCCCAAAGAAAACAGTAGTTTATTATTACAAAGCTAAGCAAGATGCAAGAGACGGAATAAGCGAAAAGCATGAAGCAGTTGGCCGCGATTCGTGTTTGTCGAAAGACGTTCCGCTTGAAGGCAAATCTGCTTCAATGCATCAAAGGAACATTCATAATTATGTGGCGGCAAACTCCAAGCGAGTGACATCTCAGGGGAACCTCAATTGCGGTTATCATTTCAAACCGCCCACGCATTCAACGAACTGTCAAGAAAAGTCTACACGATTTGAATATGAAAAGGCTGGCCATCAAGAAAGCGCCAAGCCATTTAATTATGCAGAATCACGCACCGGAAAGTTCTCGCGCGAGAAACGTGAAATCGCGCCAACTGCGGGTAACATTGGCTTAGACAATGTCAAGATCGTGGAAGTTCACTCGATCGGTCAAAAAATGGATATTGTTTATCCTAACAAAAGTGGCACAGTTCCAACTGCTCCAGTGCATCATCGAAGCGAAGAATATCGCTGTAACGTGTCCTCTGCTAATACTGTTCCAGCTTCTGATCCACCAGCACGTAACGTTCAGAGAAAAGAACCCACACCAGCACAAACTTCTGCGCCCTCTGCCACACCTGTTGTTCACTACCTACCCGTGTATGCTATCCCGAGTTCCCAAGGAGTACAGTATCAAGCTGTTCCTGGAGCTGCAATTCTTGAAAAGGTTCCAGGTGTTAACAATTTGTATTCTCCAGTGGGAAAGAATGGAGAGGCCAAACCGCAGCCAGCATATCCACAGCCAGCCCCTCCAGCAGCCAAACCACAACCACCACCACAGTCACAAGCACCACCAGTTGCGCCCCCACAACTGCAAGTACAAGGAGGCCCTACTCACACCCAGCATCACATGCCTCACCCGCAACCTCAGGGTCCTGTTATCTACCAACCAAGAATGATGTCAAATCCCACTGCTGCCCACCCTGTGCAACCCACGTTGGTACAACCTGGTTACCCGCCACAGTTAAACAATCCTCCTATGATTGCTGCACCATATCCTCCACCTGATACAAGGGTCATCCCCACTCAAACCTATCCACCACAAGCAGTTGCACAAGCAATGCCATCTCCACCATATGTTGTCACAAAGTCAGAACCAGTTTCACCCCAACAATTGTCAGCTCCTAATCATTCAGTAGCTACCACTCAGTCATATCCTGTCTCTGTGCAAACAGTGGCACCTCATCAACCTCAGCACTACCCACCACAAACTCAAACAGTTCCAGGACAGCAGCTTTACCCTTCACAAGAACAGAAGTTTACACAACCACCAATGTACCCACCTCAATATCAATCAGCACCAAATCAGACCCACTATCCTGTTCATGTTGTGGCACATGAGGCACTTCCTTATCCACCAGTCACACAGCAGGTGGCTGTCAGTCAGCCCACACCACCACCACCACCACCACCACCACAGGCAGCTGCAGGACCAGTTATTTCCACTGGACACCCATATCCAGCAGAGAGACCAGCCCAGCCATATTACCCACCTCAAAATGCAGTACAATACCCACCTGAGAAGTCATCTTCAATGGCTATTCATTACTATCCAGTTAATAAACCTCCAAGTGAGCAATCAGTTGTGCAGCAGTATCCAGATCAGAAAGCAGTGCATTTGCCTTCACCTCCATACCCAGTGGAGAGTGTAAGCCAACCTCCTACTCCACAGTACACCCCTGATGGAAAAGAGCAGCAAAAATTTCTTTATGCACCCCCACCTCCAGACTTCATGCTCAGTCCAGTGTACAGAGTTCCAGTTACTGAGGCACCTCAAATGGTCCAGCAAAGTCCGCATTCTACTCACCCTCCGAGCCAGCACTCGACAGAGCCTCTAAGCCAGCCTCCGAGCCAGCCACTCAAAGGAGCCAAACGGAGGAAAACTGCAATGCCTCATCGTGAAATCAGGGACAGTTCATCACCATCAGAGAGCTACCCACAGCACAGTTCAAGCCCTGGCTCAGACCTACACTGTAATGAAAAATTGTCAAAGTCCCCTGGTCATAACCCTGCCTTGAACAAATCCAGCTGTGTAATCACTCCTCCTGGTTCACCCCATGAAGAAGAAGATGGTTCATACACTGTTGTTATGAGAGATTATGGCATCCAGGCTGGACCACCAACTGAACAAGGCACATGGACTGTCAAAGTAGAGTCCACTGCTCCACGCGTGTACATTACTGAGAAGGAAGCTCTGGCACATGCTTACAGTGAAAGCATTTCAGAAGAGGAGGATGAATACGAGGAGGAGGAGGAGGGAGACTACAATGAACTTGATGACACAGATGAAACCTACAGCCCAACTCAAAAAGAAAACCGCTCTCCAAGTGGTTTCCAAGGGGATGGTGGGAGTGAAAACCATCTATCAAGGAAAGGAAGGAGAAGGAATGCAAAATACACCTGCAAATTCTGCCACAAAGGATTCCAGTGGTACTCTCACTTGACATCTCATGAGCGCACCCATACTGGTGAAAAACCATTCAAGTGTCCCGAGTGTAACAGAGCATTCACACGTGCAGATGGACTGCAATGTCACATGCTTGTACACAACAAAAAGAGGCCCTTCAAGTGTGATTACTGCAATAAAGGATTCAATGACAATACAAGCCTGGAAAAACACACGTACAGTCATACTGGTGTGAAGCCTTTCAAATGCGAATATTGTGGACGGGCCTTCAGTGACTCTCAGTCAATTGAGAAACATTTACTGGTTCACATCGGTACAAAGCCTTATAAATGCCAGTTTTGCGTGCGATCATTTAATGACTCTCAAATGTTGGTCAGGCACATCCGTAGCCACACTGGCGAGAAACCTTTTAAGTGTCAGCACTGCCAAATGGCATTCAGCAAACAGAGTGCCCTTGTCATTCATACAAGAGTCCATACTGGAGAAAAGCCTTACCAGTGCCCTCATTGTTCAAAGTGCTTCTCAATCTCTGGTAACCTGCAGCGTCACATTCTCATCCACACTGGCGAGAGACCTTACCAGTGTTCTAAATGCCCGAAGGCCTTCAACAACCCAAGCCACTTGTCACGCCATATTAGCAAACTTCATGCCCCACAACCAAAACCTGAGGGAGTAGTAGATAACCGACCAGGCTATAGTGCCCAAGGAAACAACACAAATAAACCTGTCCTTGCATAAGCTGTTCTTTTAAAATGAACCCTGTGGCATTGAACTTTTTGCAAGAGTTTGAATAGACTTTTTTTAGAACTATATTTTGTACTTCGGAACCTTTATTTAACTTCCTGTGAGCTTTTCTTTCTCATCACTTTGAACATGAATGTCTTGCTATGCAAGACCAAAGTTAGTGCTATCACTGACCAATAAGATATAATTTCTTCCAGGTTTCACTCAAATGATTGTGCTATATTCAGTTCCGTAGTTGTTTGGTATAAGGCTGTCAAAGTGGCCAATACGATAAACGTGAACAAGTTAAAATTAATGTGTACAATGAAGAAATTGCATTTATGGACCACTTTTCATAAAATTTTTTGTATTATTTTCAAAGAGGAAGACCATTTAGGTATAGATATATTCCTTACGTTTCTAAAAAGGATGATAATGACACAGGAAAATATTTTTATAAATACTAAGTTATTAAAAGTATTATATTGTTTTATACCATGAATATATTTATTTTGACTAGAATTTTCTAGAGGTATGAAATAACCATTGATGTTTAGTCACACAGCGTGTTTTTGTCACATGTGACCTGTATTTAGGCAAAACAAAAAATGTTGTCTTTGTAAATAAAGTGTTTGATCGTGAACTTTAGTCTTGAAATTCTGTAAATTTAAATTGCAATGTTTCTGCTGAGATATTTTAGTGGACATTCAGTATTGGTATAACTCGTCTCAGGTCAAACCGGTTTCACTCGTGTCCTAGAAAATTTTTTCAAGGGATTGGGTTTTTCACATGTACATTATGGCTACATTAGACTGATCACGTGTTCCTACCTGCTACAAACTAAATTGTATTTCATTCCATTTCATCCTGGCTGATATGAGAAACTAAAAGCCAAAAAAGAAGACTGGAATTAATAGAGATTTAGCACCGCGTTTAGGTGGAACGGCAAACGTCGGCTTGCCCTTTCATGTTTCACGTAAAATTGAGTGAATCTTGCTGCTTTAGCTTCGTGTGAGCTCACGTCGTAGTGGATTTGAAGGCGTCCTTGTATGATTTACATGGAATAGTTTTAGTGCCCTTTTACCGGCAATTAACTTCTACCATGTAAGAGAAAAAGTGAAGAAAATCTTACTTGCACGGCAAACGTGAAACACAGCCACACACGCGAAACAGGTTACTTTCACGTAGAAACGACAAAGCGCCGCAACCAGCTGACGTGAAGAAATGGCGGGAAAACAAGGTCACGTGGTCACTCTTGCCGTTCACGATTTACGCAAACGCGGTGTTAAATCTCTCCAGTAAGTCTCTAAATTTGGTCATAGGAAACTTCTAAGTGATTTCAATTCACTGAAATGTAGATTAAAGGGAAATTACTAACAAATGCTGCCCTTCATTGAATGCAGCATATGTCAACCCTTTACACCATAACATTAGTGTCCATATTCTCCATACTTTTCTCTTTACTCCTCCTTTTGGTACTGACAGACAGAATTTTTTGAAAAATCAAAATTTCTTAAATTGGTGATCATTTCTTTATTCTCAGGATGTTAATGAGTGATTTAGCAGCATTACTGTACAGGGAAATTAGATGTCGGCAAGGGCTTAGCCAGGGGGGTCCTGTGACCCCCCCCCCCCCTTGGTGGGCCTTCTTTTGAGCAAACAACCTACAATATTCAGGTGGTGAAAATGCCATGAAACTATCTTGGCTTGCCCACTATACTCTCACTGCTCATCACAAAACTGTAACATTAAGTAAAACATGCACAGCGTGGAGGTCGACACGAAAATCTGGTGAGTAACCTCTGTGACCCCCCCCCCCTTTGAAAAATCCTGGCTATGCCCCTGGTTGGTCACTCTCAGGATTTAATTAAGGGTTAAAGAGGGGTGGCAAATGGGAGCAGGGGTTCCTGATCCTGTTTCATGCATGAACTTAAGAAAAAAAATTGTGCATTATGAACTTAAAAGAAAAAATTTAAAATCTCTCTTCTTGTGTGAGGTTTCAAGGAGATCTTGAGGTTGTCACAAAATGAAAGAAAAATTAATCGATCTATTTCAGGAGGAAAATCATGTCTCATGCTGGTTCAAATGCTGGTTAAAAAAAATTCACGAATCATGCTCACCTCTCGGTAAAAAATCATGAGTCACTCCTTAATTTTTCCCTTAATTGTGCACCTCATATAAACCATGAGCCACCATCTCAAATAATTAAAACAACAATAAAAAAAAACAATATATACATATGGTACATCTATTATACCACACCCTGTTGTACATAACACAAGCCAGGCAAACTGATTTCATCTTGGCAAAAAGCAATACATTGAAGCTTAAAACTTGTTTCTGTTTTGTTGTCAATGACTAAGAAATGTAATTTTGAAGTACCCCCCCCCCCTTTTTAAAAGAAAAAGACAGAATGGGAAATGTGGCATTTAACTTACTAAATGCATCATGTCCTTCTTGAAATGAGTAACTAATAAGAAAACCACTTCAAGCAGAAATCTAACTATGGCAAATGGAGAATTGATACCCAAAAAGACAGCTTGTATTAGTATTATATTGACTGTTACAGCTTTCAATTGAAAGTATTTTTCTTGTAGTGTTAGTTGTAGTGATACAAATTCTAAAGTCAAGGAACATATCCAGACAAAGAAATTAGACCTTTCTTTTCCAAGATCATATATTGAATTCTCCAAATTGTTTCCACACACTTCTTGAACTTCATGTTTAAGGATATGGTGTCCAACCAAAATAATATCCCCTGATTGATAATTTCCTTATTTCTCGTCACCTTTCTGCTTAAAAATATATTAGTATGATGCACGATCCTCGCAGTAGAGCGCTATTTATGCAATAGCGAAAATCAGACATGGAAAAAGCTCAGGCCTGATTTTTTTCTAGGTCTGATTTTCGTTATTGCATAAATAGCCCTCTCTACTGCGAGGATCATGCATCATACGTATCTAATACCGCAGTTCAAAATATATGAACTTCATACATTCATTGTATCTAAAAATATAGATACAATATGGAGAAATTCAATTTTGGTCAGTCCTAAGTGTAACTGCCAACAAGTCCAGTTTCAACAGTTGCTAAAGGAACTAAATTATTACTAGTTATTACAAAATATAAGTAGAAGGAATAAAAACAAACTACAGAGGAAAAGCAATCTGACAAGGAAAGACACTTACAAACATTGATTGATTTTGTGCACATGAAGGATGGAAAACTGAGAGTTGATTGCGGTAAAGAAATCAATGTTGATCTCAAGGACTCTGATACTCTGAATTCTACCGAGAAGCTTATACAAAATAAAATTAAACAAAGCAAAATTATACAAAAAAATCTAACAGAATATAAATCAACCGGTGTAAAAGAATGCGAAAAACAATAAGAAAAATGCACGTACTAAACACAAAACTGTAATTGGGATCATAAATGGGAATGCCGCACTAACACTCAGAGCAAAAGAGTTCAATTCTGTAATATGAAATTTAACAACTGGGTCCTAAAACAAATAAAATAAGTTGTAACAATGGACAGGCTCTGTAGGTTCAGTGTCTTCAGGAAATAATGATCTATAAAAGGAAACAATCTGGGCCAAGTTGTTCAAAGGTCAATTTGCCCAAACCCAGGGTTAAATTTTAATCCTGGTTTCTTCATTCCTTTGTTCAAAGCCTTTTTGAGATAATTTGCATAATAAGATTCTAGACTAAAAGAATTATATTGAATTTTCTGAAACAGATTTCACACTAATCCTGGGTTGTCTTATAACCCAGCTCTGAACAACCCAGCCCAGGAATATTACGGGAAAATAAAAAAATTAAAAGTCAAGGAAAATCCTAGTCTCCACCGTTGGTGGGGGAGGGAGTTTTGCGTGACAAGCCAAACAATGGCTGCGAAGGAGACTAGGAAAAACCAAGCAAAGAAAAGATACTGAAAACAAAGTGGCTAAGAGTTGGTCACACTTTGAATCCAGTAAACCTGTAAACCACATTACTGACCACAAAAGCACTCACATGGTGCTCCCATGGCAAACAATTGATGAGCTTTTGACAGGACCTCTATATGATAATGTTGATTTTAAATTAAGATACAGTCGTTAAGTTAAGCAATAGTTCATTATTCATAGATATAGCGGTAGCCATCTAGCCACGGACTAGTAGAAATTCAGTTTTGGCTTGTGGTTTTTGATTTTCAACAGCCAGTTTGGCTAGTAAACAAACTGAAATTGTTGTAACATCTCAGTTATCACTAGCCACTTGGTTAGTAAGTTGAAAAGTTAGTGTCAAGTTCTGTTAAGAGACTCTTTGCAGTGGTCAGTTTACATTACTAAGTCAGCTGATGTAACCAAATCATCCAATGAATAAAATAGCTGTTAAGTTCCTGAATATAAAAGTCACCGTTAGAACTTTTACTTTGTACATTAAACAGTCAAACCAGAGTTAAAATATTAATTTTAATAACTATTGGTCGGGAAATCTATCATGCCAAATAAGGTGTCTGTTTTAGGCAAGCTGTTGAAGTTTTAGTCTAGAGCCAGGTTTTGAGATCACAGGAAAAAAAATCAAGCAATTGCACACTTTTCAATATCTCAACCACTTCTATATCTCAACCACTTCCATTTCATTTCCTTGAGGGAAAAAAAAATGAAATTTCTGATCAACTGGGAATTCACTAACTCACATGTGACATCACAGCTTAGGCTTAACCTTTATCTCCCATGAGTGATCAAGACAGAATTTCTCCTTACAATATCAACACAATATCAAGTAGACAAGTGATGAGAATCAAGAAAAATATTCACTAGCAGATTAGTAGTTGATTCAATGCTTGATTCTTTGCACTAATATCATAAGAACTGTATGACAGACACTAAGGAGAATTATCACTGAGATCTCGGTAGTGAAAAGGTTTTAATTAAATCCTTACACTGTTCATTCTTCAATTGGTGTTGCCCTGAAGACTTCCAAAACAAACGGTCGTATAAAATGTCTTTGCTTTTCCAATTCACTACGAAGGTTCTTTAGATCTGAAGGGATATTTGCCACTCTCCCTGACAAGAGCATTCCTTTCTTAGCAGTCAGGCTTTCTTGAAATTTTTTAATCTTCACTGGTACTCTTGTTATGATATGGAGACCAAAGTATTTCCCTTTCACGCTTCGCCATGACTTCAGTAGCACAACTTTTGCCAAGGGGACTTTCTCATCGCCGACCATTGACGACGACGTTATATTCAAATCTACGATTTGGCTGAACTTTACGCGAAGCGAAACTCGAGGCGTAAACAAGGTTAAGGAGTACGACGATGGGATCCTAGAGTTGTTCAAGCAAACTTCTTCACAAACTTGCTGAAGAAATTCGGACGCAGTCGTTTTCAAGCTGTATTGCGTTCCGATATTTTCGTTCTTGATTTCCAGAGGAGAGCATAGATATATTTGAAAAGTGGGAAGAAGAAGCGCCAGAAGAAACGCAAAGATCAATAGTTTTGAAACCCTTCTAAGCGGTTTGAAGAAATATCCCGAAATGATTGTAATCACAGTGAGCCCGATCACTGATAGAATCTTCGAATGATTTCTAAGTACAGTACCAACATTGGAAATAACATCACCACCGACAGCTGTAAGCCAGAAAAGGGGAGGCAGAACCATCAGGCAGAGAAAAGCAAAGTTCTTGTAGGACGTTTTCGAATCATCGTTCGATCCGCCATCTTTAGTTTTGCTACTCCGTTTTTCTCTCGGATTTCCGCCTTCACTCTTTCCCATTTTGGCCAGGAAGATTCTAAATGTTAAGACTCCACTTTTAGTTCACAAAGGAAGGTTTATGTGCATTTTCCTTTTAGATTCACGGTATGTTTTAGATATGGGCTCTCTTTGCTGATAAGTGCTTGTTATCAAGGGGAATTTCACGTGGCAACCGAACAATAGTGTTTTACAGTAGGGGAGGTAGAGTAGACTTAACTTTCCACAAATTTCGTATTTTATTCTTTAATCATATCCATATTTCATCTATTTAGACAGAGAGATGGAATTAGATTTGCGTGAAATATTCAAGAAGAGAATCATTAGGAGTGTGAAAAGTTGCCAGAGGTATTTTTTTTGAAAATAATACTTTAGAAAAAAAGTAGAAAACGACCATTATCGTACCTTAGAGGACCCTAGGCGAGTTTGTTTTAGCTGAGCAGCGGCTGCTAAGCCAGCTACGAAAAGGCGGGAATTATTCAAGTTCGTTTCCAATATGGCGCATTCTAAGACAGAAAAAACAATTACCGCTTGTAGTAACCTTCAGATTGCTTCTATTTCCCAAGAATGGACAGAAAATGCTTGGAATTCGGAATTTTGTGAGTCTCAAGGGTTTCCAGAGGTCGTGGAAAACAGCATATCCGATCGTGGATACTTTGTGCGGGAATTGAAAGAGCTGTTGTTGATTTCAAAGCAATGGACAACTTCTACGAGCCAAGACACTTTAAATGAGGGTGAGCTTGCTGTAGGAGTTCCGGATTATTTTGCATCTGAGCTGGTCGATCAGTTTTCAGTGGACTTAGACGCGATCGTTCCCATCGTTGCGCCGAATGCATTCCCCTTTCAAACTTACTCTTTAATACAGCTCAGATATCGATATATTATTATCTTCAAAAAAACTGCAGCTGTTGTTCCCTGCAAATCTCTCAGTTGAACCTGCCAAATGATTTTAAGATCTTAGATTTTGTGCTCCTGATTATCTTTTATTTTTTTTTATAGAGAGGTATTGGTATATTAGCTGTTTCTAAAGAAATCCTGACCTTTTTTCAGGCTTATGGAAGGTTCTTTCAGACAACAATTTTTCACCCAAAGCGTTGATTTCTTTGCTCCATTCATTTATTGAATCCTGTGATAAGGTGAGAGCTACTACTCCTTTGTATTGGCCTAGGATTGGAAACTTAACCTTTTAACTCTCAGAAGTGACTAAAATGTAATTTCTCCCTATTGTATTCTTACATTATCCAGCAAACAGGTAATGAGAATACTCAACATAATCAGTTGGAAATTGTTATCTTGATCTATCATTAAATTCCTGTAACTTATTTACAAGGAAATGTGTAGTAGCTAGAGGGGAGAATTAACAATCAGATCTTGAGAGTTGAAGGGTTAAGAAAGTATTTTTGCCTGCTCATTGGCTAGGAGTTGATTATAGCAGATGGATAAACAAAACTAAGTGATACAGGTATTTGATTATGCCATAAACTCCCAAGATCTGTTTTGCACATCGAGTTACTCTCCCTTTTAGGAGCCCCTCCTCCCAAACAATCAAGATTTAGAGGGAAGTTGGGTGTCTCAGCAAAAATTGAGCAGGTTGTGACTAACAATGGTTCTGCAGGTGTGAGATCTTGTTGAGTTTTGTCTTATGTGACAGACTGAGTCAGAGAGTCAATAAAATGCTCCTTTGTGAATATATGAAAGTCATATTTTAACTGCAGTTAACGAATGAGATGTAGTAGTAGTAGTAGTAGTGAACTTTATTTATGTGTCGTGAAAACCTAGCACATAGCACTAATTGGG